AGCTCCTTTGCCCCCGGCTTCCCTGATTCAGATGCTGCTGAAACTGACCAGCGGCTGACTTGGGGAAGTCTGGGGTAGAGCAGCTGGGGTGCTGTTGGGTTGGTCCTGCAGTGCCCAGGGGCGCATCCCACCCCACCCCATCCCAGACCCCTCATAGCCCCCCTTCCGATAGTCCGGCAAATCTGATAATCCGGCAACCCCTGGGTCCTAAAGGTGCCGGATTATCGGAATTTTACTGTAGTTTGTGGCTCTGATTTATTTTCTTGTTTGTAGGCTTGAACTGAAATGTAGAGTTACTGTAGATTTATCTGGGTCTAAGTCACTTGTTTGTAATATCTACAGGGAAAGGCAAGGGCAGAGGCCGATTAAGACCCGAAGATGAAGAAGAACTAGGAAATGCCAGACCTTCTGCACCCAGCACACTCTTTGACTTCTTAGAGTCAAAAATGGGTACTCTAACAGTAGAAGGTAAGCTGCTGAAATTAAAATGATCTATGAAAGTAAGGTCACAGACCATTGGCAAAATTTTTCTACGTTGCTAAGCATCGTCTTTATAGATATTGAGATTTGTGTCAGATCAGAACATCTGAAACTTCATGTTGTTTGTTTTTCATGTAAGCGTTGTGTTCAGTTGACAATATATATTCATATTTTCTCACTACCACTTGGTTGTCGAGAGATGTTACAAGTTTATTAACAGGAAGAGGTGTATTTGCTTCATGGTCATCTTGGATCTAATGGAAAGTTTTACATTTTTCTTTTTACCACTGTACTGTGTTAGTAGTCATCTCTCCTCCTCTGGCCCCCATGAGAGACCACTCCCCTTTATTACAGCCATGAAAATTTTAAATGATAATGTTCTGAGAGTTTTCTTTCAATTTGTTACTCAGATTAAAGGCAGATGTGCATGTAATAGTATTTGGTTTTAAGTGAATAGGCATGAATCAGGGTGTAATGGGGCCATGAGTTATCTTAATGTAGATCTGTAGCTCCAAACCACTCAAGAGTGTGACCAAGAGAAGGTGAAAGAAATAAAGGTGCCTAGAGTAAGAGACCGGACAATCCCAAAATAATTGTGCTATTTTCTCATGAGAGGGCTAGTTTCTTTTCCTTCTAGGTTCACGGGATTTCAGTTCCTTCCTCTTCAGCCATTCAGTGTGTGAGTCTGTAGGTAGTCCTCTTTCTCTCCTGGTCTACTCTACATGTTTAGGTCAATATAAGATGCCTTTTGTCAACCTAGTTGTGAAAGTACCTTCACTTAAATTTGGCTCCCACTATCATAAGTGCTTCTCTCTGCTGATTTAATAACCTGCCCAATCTCCTGCACATGTTCTCAAGCCCACTGATTACCATTTTGACCTTCCCAGTCTTCAAATCCAGTGCAATGGCAAGATCAAGTATCCTAATCCATGTCCACTCCATTTCACAGTGTGGGATTTAGATCGGCACCTAGACTCCTGAATGGTCAAGTTCCTCCACAGTATAAGGCATTCTTTGAAATAGTAGATAAGAGTTCACTAAACCGTGTTATCAGGCTAAGTGGAGATGCTTTTTATCTTGACCATGTCACAGGTTTTACCAAAAGTGGTAGAGATTCTGTTAACGTAGACAACATTCTATCATTAAAGACATTGGATCATGCCCTCAGCACTTTGAGATTCCACCTAACAGTGATCAGCACTTTCCATACTCCTGTGAAGGATTACCCTGTTTTTTACACACCTTCCAATGGATACATTTTGGAAAAAAGCCACCTAAGAACTTTCCAGTGCCTCCAAGTGATTGTGTCTCAATAGGCTATGAATCTGATAGTCTCAGTATTAACAATCATTCTCTCCCTTTAAACCAGTTGTATTTTGTTCCGGGGCTTATCTCTCTGTAAAGGTCACCCAACTTGTTACTATCAAATTAGTGGGAAGGTTGGGGACCTTGGAGCTATGATGGCAGACACACTATGAAAAATATTCCACTCATCCAAGTTTTTCTTACATCTATAACTGAAATGTTTACCAAAAGAGATCTCCCAGTTTCTTCTTTATCAATCCATTCACTTACTCGTTATCTTACCTAAATCTAACAGATCTGCAGAGGAACATCTTTCAGTGTTCAATGAGCTTTGACCTTTTACCTGCAGAAAATAAAAAGCAATTAGAAAAGCTCCTAGGCAATTTATTGCAATAGCAAAGAGAATCCAGGGACATCTCCAAATGGATTTCCAGCTGCATTAAACTCTTCTATGTGCTTGCAAATCCACCTCCCTGCAGTGGGCTCCCTCCAGTACAGCTGAAGCCAGAAGCATGGCATCCCTTCAGGAAGTGCTTCTCATACGTTTATGTAGAGCAGCCATATGGAGCTTTTTTGTACATGTTAACAACTTTCTGTGTCTTGGTCCAGGACTCCATCTCAAATGCTTCTTTAACACTGTGATTCTCTGCATGACCTTTCTGGTCTCATCCTTGCACTCTTCTTAGACTTAAGGACTGCTTGTTAGTCACCCATAATAGAATATAGTAAGGATCGTTACTCAAAGAAGTTATTTACTTGTAAGTGGAGGACCTTCGAAATATGTAGTCTCGATGTGTATTCCACTTCCTGTCTTTCTATATCTCTGTTTTAAATGTGTGGCTAGGTCTAAACTACAACGAAAAGTCAGAAAAAGATATGCAAATTGCGAATCGCAATTTGTGTATCTTTTTCTGCTTTTATTTTGAAAGAGGCTTCTCTGAAATTTGGCCCATCTGCACAGGGCCACATTTTGGACAAATTCCTCTTTCGACAATCCCTTCTTCCTCATACAATGAGGATTACAGGGATGGAAAAAGAACGCGTCCGTTTTTTCAGAAATTGTTTCGAAAAAGCAGACGCATTCCTTGCATGCGTCCATGGCTTTTCCAGGATACTGGAGGTATTCTGGAAAAGGTCTGCAGTCTAGACATAGCCTGTTATATTTATTATGAAGAAAGACCTGGAGACATGGTTGATCCACCCTGCTCCGGAAGAGGCAAGTCAGGATGCATGTGTTGACCAGTGAATGCTACTTTGAAATTCTCCAAATCCAGGCATATGGTGTACATGTATAATCCACAGTGAAATACAGAACTTCAGGTTATCTGGAAAAGGTCTGCAGTCTAGACATAGCCTGTTATATTTATTATGAAGAAAGACCTGGAGACATGGTTGATCCACCCTGCTCCGGAAGAGGCAAGTCAGGATGCATGTGTTGACCAGTGAATGCTACTTTGAAATTCTCCAAATCCAGGCATATGGTGTACATGTATAATCCACAGTGAAATACAGAACTTCAGGTTATAGGTGAG